TCGTGCAACGCGTAGACTGCACTTGCGTAGTACGCCAAATGAATACATGTACATATTCGCGAATAAAAGAATTGGATCCTTGTGACAGCTTTCCTCTCGATACTTTTAGACAAGTATCCTACCCGTACCTGTTTACAAACGTCTTAACGAATACTGAAGTATTGTATCTACTTCAGCAGAGCAGTCTTTACGAAGGATAAACGATTTACAGCATCACTATCGTCTTCGGAACGTGATGACCAACAATTCGCTCCATCTCGCCGCGTCGATAGAATTGAGCGGCATCAGAATTGCATTGCTTAGTATGCACAGCGAAATCGCTGGGGGTACGGACAAAATTGACAAGCTAGATGAGAAACTCTCGCGCTGGACAAGGAACTGCTCAAATTGAAGTTGATGTCCGCGGTGTCCGTGAAGACGCACATTCCTGCATTGTTCACAACCAACGCTTGACTGCCGTAAAAACAAAAATTAGGCTTCAAATCTAGCGGACGGATTCTGAGGTCATGGGAGTTGGATGAACCGATGCATTTACCGCTACGAATAGCGAAATCTGAACTCACACCCGACACCCGATCTTCAGGAAAGCGTATTTGATGGCGTCTTGATCAGGCATCGACGAACCGTGTGCGTGAACTGAAGAAGGACGTGGAAAGCTGCCCACAACGTGCGGGTTTGCAGCAACCGCAATCGAGGGAATGATCTGTATTCATCTGACCCTCGATACTCTTCAATGGCTTCAAAATGACCTGCACAAAGCGCAACATATCCTGTTTGTGTGGAACTGAAAGCACAAAAACTATTGGCGCTTACACGTTCATCTCGATATACATGTATTCAACAAGGTGAAGAGAAGATTCTTTTTGCAGTCCCTCAGAAGCGTGAACACGGACAGTGTGAGATACCAGGATACATACCACATTCTCACGGTAGAGTCACAAAGATCCACCATGATAAGCTCTTCGCCTGTATAAATTATACTAAACAGCATAGTTCATCAGAAATGTGAAACTTGTCCATGTTCAGGCCAATGTGATTTGCGCCTGGCTGCCGAAGTTATTGCCTTGCGTCGCAGCATGCGTACGCCCTTGGGTGAGTTTTGTATAGTGGCCTATTGACTGTAGCCAATGCCAGCACGGACGAAGTCACGAAGTTATAGTCATAGCGCCAGAACAATTTCGCTATTCGAGTCGTCTAGGAATCCTCACTTTCGATCTGGCTCCCAATCAAGCAAACAGTCTCTCACTAAGCAAATCAATTCAACCATGAAGATCGGTGGGGTTATCGCGTCGACGTTCCTGCTGTCAATGGCTTCTGCTTCTGATTGTCCAAGTGAAGTTACCCCGTCGCCCACACCGCAGTTGACGCCGGAA